ATTAAACTAATTAAACCAATTAAACTATCATCACTTTCACAGTCTGCCAAAGGAGAGCAATGCTACTAAGCTGATGAACAGCCCACAGCGATAGGACTGCCCGAAGCTCTAATGGAACAGGAACATCTAAAGACAATAAGTGAATACTGTACATATCCAGGTTCCATATAGCAATGGTTTGTGGGTTGGGCTTTTTTCTTAAGTTTAAAAGAAACTTTAAATTGCTTGATTTTCTTTGTTGCAGCAATTGAACTGTCCTCGTTTTCTAAGGATTGATCTCAAATTTTTGAAGATTCTCACTTGAACTTAAGCCTTATTTTTGGCTGGTCTCATTTTTTATCAAATTTATTTAATATTTAATAAATATGTATTAAGAATTAATATGTATTTTTAAAAGTGCCGCTCACACAAATATGGAATGGTTAGCATCAAAAGGTAATAAGCGACAGTAGCTAGCACTATATTATTTGAAGCGTATTATATAAAGCAGCAGATAACTTTCTTATTATCATGTAACATTTACACACGCATACATGGATGTGGTTCATTTTTGCAAATGCTGTTGTACTTTTAATGTATATCACAGCACAACCGTGCAAAATCTTCCCCAGAGAACAGGACTGCCGCTGTGAGCAGGTCATTCTGCTAAACAGACCCTTCTTTTGGTGCTGAACACTGGACCCATAACACTATAATGCCTTTTGACCTCTTTTGAGCAACTCTTATCCCAGTCCGTAGCCCTTTGAACTTCTGGAAACCCCTCAGCACGATCAGCAATTACATAGCACATCATGAACGCGTAAATGCGTTATCAAAGGTTAACAAATTCCATTTTGTCTACCAATTTACAGTAACTTCTGCACATAGAACTCACATTGCCCTGCTATGAAAGTTACCTGTAATTCTCTTAACTACTTTTTAAGCATAAAACAATAAGACTGCAGGTAATGAGATAACACCAAAATAACTCGTTAAATGTTTTAATTGAGTTCTAGCACTTCCCTACTGAGAAAACACTACTAGAAGTTCCTCCCAATAAACAATATGTTTCCCTAATATCGCACGTGTGTCTGCACAGCCTTAATTCTGTACTAGTGACAAGTCGCAAAAAAAAAGTAATCAATTAGCCTAGAAACTCTGTAATAAATATAAGCACATACATAGATTTGTGCAGGATTCGGACAAAAAAAAAGAATTCCCGTTTTGAAAAAAATCTAACCCTAGATGAAACAAAATTTGGTTGCTACAAAATAACTCCGCATTAAGTCAATTGTAACTTGCACTTTACCAATCCGTTTGAACTGCTGCTACGTGAAAAACGGTGCAAGCGCTTTTGCGTAGCGACGAGTTCTGCCGTCAGAGCGGTGCCGCCTGGCGGTCACCTGCCAGCGCTGCCTCTGCATGCCGCCCACCAGCTTCCCAACAGGCCGGAAGAGCTGGATGCCCGCACGGCGGAGGCGGGCGTCCGCCCGCCCG